GGAGCAGTATAGAGAGGATATTTTGGACCTTAGGACCCTAGCATCTGAAAGGACTGAAGAAGTTGTCATCACTTTCAGAAAACTGTTGATGGCGAGGGCAGGCAATTTTGCTGTCATTGCTGTTTCAAACTCTGGTCTGTTGTTTTATCAGTTCTATTACAATCAAAATATTTGTTTACTTTGTTCCTAAACCAGTACCCTGCTGTTACTTGAAATTCCAATGCACCCTTCTTTTTGTTTTGTAATTCTTGTAGTATGTCTATAATTTTTCAGTGGTATGCACTGGATACATTGTTAGAGATTTCCTTCACTGGTACAATCGTGGCATCAAGTCATGGTGAATTACCAGAAAAAAAATGGGATCAGTCAAGTGCGAAAACAACATACATCTGTTCTCGCCTTGTATTCCAGTTTGTTTATTTTGCTCTGCGAAATGCTTCTTGTGGATTATAACCAGGTGGCAGAGGAATAATTGTGAATATTTGGACACATTGCGGATTTTTGTTAATGCTTTGGAATCATTTCAGAATGTATTTTATTCTCTAAATCTTTCAAAACTGCTTAAGAGTGTTCATAAAATAAAATCTGTTGGAAAAATGTATAGAAAAGTCATTGTATAATGAATGAAGGTAGTAGTTTGATCATCTGGAGCTAATGGTTTACTTTTTAATAAACCATTAAAGGTAATGGAAATAATTCAAACAGGTTTATCATGTAGGCCATTTTCTTTTGACTTGTGTCGTTCTTCACACATGCAGGGCAGCAGAAATAGCAGCCGGTCATCTAGTCCTAGCGTAAGAATGATCACTGCTGCAGGCACGCCTTCTGAGAAAGCTACCCGCAACTATGCATGGACACCAGATGAATCAACAGGTTTGCTTTGGCCTTTTGCTCTAACAGTGAAGTTTATAAAATGACAGAAACAGCAGGAGGAAAATATGTTTAATTTCAATCTTGTGAATGTAGATTATATAGAGAAATATGGAGGAAAGTGTGGTGACTCATTTATCTAAAACATATTCGAAATGTTTCATGCTCTTTCTGTCTAATTCTCTGGTTAGACTGCATTTGAAATACTGTGGGCCTGAAACTGCCCTATATCTAACATATCTAAGGAAAGGTGCAATGGCATTGGAGAGGACCAGAGGAGGTTTCCAAGAAAGATCCCACGGATGAGGAGCTTATTATATGAAGTGTAGTTGAGGATGCTGGGTTTTGAAGGATGACGAGGGATTGCATTGAAACTTAGAGTGGATGTGAAGATGTTTCCACTAGTAGGAGAGACTTGGACCTAAGGGCACAGCCTCAGAGTAAAGGAATGATCCTATAGAACTGAGATGAGGAATTTCTTCAACCAATGGGATCTGTTGTCTTATTACTGTAGAAGGTTGTGGAGACCAAATCATTGAGTGTAATTAAGACAGAGATAGATAGCTCTTGATTAGTCATAGGATCAAAGGTTGCAGCGAGATGGCAGGAGGAATGTTAAAAGCAAATTTCATACCAAATCACTTGCATTCATCTTTTATACTGGTCCAAGAATCAGTTTACGAGATCAGATCCTGCTACAACATTGGAAACACTCCTTTACCAAGAGTTGTACAGTTGCACTGATTGTGTTGATTTGTGTAGCATCTTTAAATTACACTCATACTCTTAGGCTCACAGGAACTAGGAAACATATTAAGTTTCCTCCTGTCAAGGTTAGTTCTTAAATGCTTCCTCGAATAATTTTTACTGGAGGACAGAAAAATGAACGTTCATGTTTTATGCTCCCAATTATGTCACATCATGGAAGGTGATGAAAGGAACGTGATTGCCTAGTGGTATTATCGCTGAACTATTAACCCAGAAATGTGGGTAATGCTCTGGGGACCCTGATTCATATCTGCCACATTCGATGGTGGAATTTGAATTCACTAAATATCTGGAATTAAGAATGTAATGAGCCTGACATTAGCCTGATATAGTCATACTCACAGAATCTTACCTAATAGACAATGTCCTGGGCACCATTATCGTCACATCCCTGGATACGTCTTGCCCAACTGACAGGACAGGCCCAGCAGATGTGGTGGAATAGTGGTACACATGGGCAAAGAAGCCACCTGCGCTTTACCACATCCCATCTTCCCTCAGCTGTTCAACAGTGCTTGGAGGAAGCACTGAGGGTGGCAGGGACACAGAATGTACTCTGGGTGTCAGAGTACAGTGTCCACCACCAAGAGTGGCTCGCAGCAGCACTACTGATTGAGCTGGTCGCATCCCAAAGGATTTTCTGTTAGACTGGATCTGCAGCAGGTGGTGAGGTAACTAACAGAGAAAAATATACAACCTCATCCTCAACAATCTGCCTGCTGCAGATGCATCTGTCCATGACAGTATTGTTAAGAGCGACCACTGCACAATCCTTGTGGAGATGAATTATCAGTTTGATAGCTCCTTACATCATGTTGTGAGACACTATCGAAGTGATAATCGGGACAAACTTCGAACAGCTCTACCAACTCAAGACTGGGCATCGATGAGATGCTGTAGTCCAACATAATCTGCAACCTTATGGTCTGACATATCCCCTACTCAGCCATTACAATCAAGCCAGATGATCAGCCTTGGTTCCATGAAGAGTGCAACAGGGCGTGCCAAGAGCAACACCAGGCATATCTAACAAAAGGTATCAATCTCATGAATTTACAAAACCGGACTATTTGACTGCCAAACAGAGTAAACAGCTAGTCATCGACAGCTACATAATCTCACAAGCAACAGATCAAATCTAAGATCTACAGTCCAGCCGCACCCAGTTGTGAATGGTAGTGGACAGTCACACAGCTGACTGGAGGAGAAGCCTCCACAAATATCCCTATTCTCAATGGTGGGAGAGCCCAACACATCCGTGCAAATAATGAAGCTGAAGCATTCGCAATTTTAGGCAGAAGTGCTGAGTGGATGATCCATCTTGTCCTCCTCCTAAGGTCCCCTGCGTCACACATGCCAGAATTCAGCCAATTCAAATCACTCCACGTGATATCAAGAAATAATTGGACACACTGGATACTAAAAAGGCTATGGGCCCTAACAACATTCCACTAATAATACTAAAGACTTAAGCTCCAGAACTTGCACTACTAGCCAATGCAGTTTCAACACTGGCATCTACCTGCAATGTGGAAAGTTGCCTAGGTATGTCCTGTACACACAAAGCAGGAGAAATCCAACCCAGCTGACTAACTCTCCATCTGTCTACTCTGTCATCAGTAAAGTAATAGAAGGTTTTGTCATCAGTGCAATCAAACAACACTGCTCAGCAATAACTTGCTCACTGATGCCCAGTTTGGATTCTGCCAGGGCCACTCGACTCTTGACCTCATTACAGCCTTGCTTCAAACATGGACAAAAGAGCTGAATTCCAGAAGTGAGAGAGAGTGACTGCCTTTGATATCAAGACCACGTTTGACCAAGTGTGGCATCCAGAATCCCTAGCAAAGCTGGAATCAGTGGGAATCAGAAAAACACTCCAATAGTTGGAGTCATACCTGGCATAAAAGAAGACAGTTGTGCGTGGGAAATCGTGTCGCACAGACTTGATTGAGTTTTTTGAAGCAGTCACAAAGATGATTGAGGGCAGAGTGGTGGACATGATCTATATGGACTTAAGTAAGGCATTCAACAAAGTTCCTCATGGTAGACTGGTTAGCAAGTTAAATAGAGGGACAACTAGCTATTTGGATACAGAATGACTCAAAAGTAGAAGACTGAGGGTGGTGGTGGAGGGTTGCTTTTCAGACTGGAGGCCCGTGACCAGTAGTGAGCCACAAGGATTGGTGCTGTGTACACTGCTTTTCGTCATTTATATAAATGATTTGGATGTGAACATAGGAGATATGGTTAGTAAGTTTGCAGATGACACCAAAATTGGAAGTGTGGTGGACAGCAAAGAAGGTTCCCTCGAGCACAATGGGATCTTAATCAGGTGGGCCAGTGGGAGGAGAAGTGGCAGTTGGAGTTTAATTTAGATAAATGTGAGGTGCTGCATTTTGGAAAAGCAAATCAGGGCAGGACTTGTACACATAATGGCAAGGTCCTGGGGAGTGTTGCTGAACAAAGAGACCTTTGAGTGCAGGTTCATAGTTCCTTGAAAATGGAGTCACAGGCAGACAGGATAGTGAAGAAGGCATTTGGTATGCTTGCCTTTATTAGTCAGTGCATTGAGTACAGGGGCTGGGAGGTCATGCTGCGGCTGTATTGGACATTGTTTAGGCCGCTATTGGAATACTGCATGCAAATCTGGTCTCCCTGCTATAGGAAGGATGTTGTGAAACTAGAAAGGGTTCAGGAAAGATTTACAAGAATGTTGCCCAGGTTGAGGGTTTGAGCTATAGGGAGAGACTGAATAGACTGGGGCTATTTTCCCTGGCGTGTCGGAGGCTGAGTGGTGACTTTATAGAGATACATAAAATCATGAGAAGCATGGATAGGGTAAATAGACAAAGTATTTTCCCTGGAGTGGGGAAGTGTAAAGCTAGAGGGCATAAGTTTAAGGAGAGAGGGGAAAGTTTTAAAAGAGACTTAAGGGACAATTTTTCATGCAGAGTGTGGTGCATGTATGGAATGAACTGCCAGAGGAAGTGGTGGAGGCTGCTACTATTACAGCCGTTTAAAAGGCATCTGGATGGGTATATGAATAGGAAGGATTTAGAGGGATATGAGCCAAAAGCTAGTAAATGGGACTAGATTTATTTAGGATATCTGGTCGGCAAGGACAAGTCGTTTCAAAGGATCTGTTTCCGAGCTGTATATCTGTATACTGTGTGACTGTGAGTTGTGATTGTTCAAGGTCCGTCATCTCAGCTCCAGGACATTTCTGCAGGAGTTTCTCAGGGTAGCGTCCAAAGTCCAAACATCTTCAAGCTGCTTCATGAATGACCTTCCTTCCAACATACGGTCAGAAGTGGGAATGGTCGCCAATTATTGCACAGTGTTCAATATCATTCACATCTCCTCAAATGCTGAAGTAGTCCATGTCAATATGCAACAAGACTTGGGCAGTATCCAGGCTTGGACTGACAAGTGGCAAGTAACATTCATTCATGAGTACCAGGCAATAAGCCATCTCCAATATGAGACCATCTAACCACCATCCTTTGACGTTCAATGGTGTCACTATCACACAAAAACCCAATATCAATATCCTGGTGTTGCCATTCACCAGAAACTCAACTGTGCTCATCATATTATTTACACTGGCTACAATAACAGGTCAGAGGCTGGGAATCCTACAGTGAGTAATTCACCTGTTGACTCCCCTAAGCCTGTCCACCATCTACAGGGCAGGAGTCAGAAGTGTGACAGCCAACGACTCACTTGCCTGGATGAGTGCAGCTTCAAGAACACTCGAAGCTTGACACCATCAATGACAAAGCAGTCCAATTGATAGACGTCGCACTCCTTAACATTCAGTCACTGCATGACCAATGCTCCTAGCAGCAATGTGTATGATCACAAGATGCGTTGCACAAATTTGCCGAAGATCCTTCGACAGCACTTTTCTGAACTCATGATCAATTCCATTTAGAAGGACAAGGGCACCAGATACATGGGAACGCCACCATACGCAAGTTCACCTCCAAACCACTGACTATGCTGAGTTGGAAATAAATTGCTGTTTCTTTGCTGGATCAGAATCCTGGAATCCATTCCCTAATGGGGACACATACAGCATGTGGATTACAGTGGTTCAAGAAGGCAGCTCACCGCTACTTTTCTCAAGGCCACTAGGGACAAGCAATAAATGCCAGCCCAGCCAGAAATGCCCACGAGTGAATAATTAAGGTGTGATTGTACCAATTAATTTTGTGGTACACATCAGGAATCCTTTATCTGAAAACCTCACAAACAATTGTTTTATGGATGAAGCATGTTTTCAGTTTTAGGGTATGTTTACCTTACCCTCTAAGATCTTTTACTAGTCATCTCACAGCCAAAAGCAAAATATTCATTCAACTTTTGAACTCATTGTACCCTTGTCTGTTGAGGAATAAGTTTATGTCATCAAAATCGTAATAGTATGTGGATACTTCTCTTTCATTATCTCTGTCCCTTATTTATTTCCATTTGGTGCTACACTTACCACTATAGTCCATTCGGGTTTCTTCGGGGCCATTTGGCAAAGAACTTTGGTTGGCCCTAAGTCAGCATGTCTACAGGTCGGTTCAGGTCCATCGCCCAAAAAGCTTTTGGTTTTTAGATCTTGTTTTTTGGATCTGTTTCCATGCTTTGTGAATCTATGACACTATGTACAAACATGTCAAGTTTTTCTATAAAGCACTAAAATGTACCTCACCGCCACATATCTTGATACTTCACTGCCTCTGATCTGTTATACTGTTCAACTGACCATTAAGTAATGGATAAGCAGTAATTCTCCTGTAGCTAAATACTGGGAAATCCAGAGTCATTCCCTTTATTCCGTGCCACAAACTCCAGTTCCTATCCACATACTTCCTCTTGCTGATCACTGTCTACTGTTGACGCAGACTGTTCACAACTTTGTCCTACTTGACACTGACTCTTTCCATCACTGGTATCCATGCTAGCCACAGTTCATTTGCTACTGAAGTCCTTTTCCATGACAATGCTACTTCTAAATTCTCCTGTTCCAGGACCCTCATAAGAACTGAAATAGGAGCAGTGGTAAGCTCTTTGTCGTTTTGAGGCTACTCCATTCTTCTTTGAGTCCACGACTGATCTCCTACTTCAATTCCACCTTCCTGAAGTATATCCACATTCTTTGATTCCTGAATATCCAAAAGTCTGTTGACCTCTGACAACTTTTGAGCATCCTCAACTGTCTGGAAAGGAAATTTCCAAAAATTCTCACTGGAGTTTAGAAGAATGAGAGGTGATCTCAGTGAAACCTGTAGGATTCTCAAGGGGCTTGATGAGATAAATGCTGGGAAGATGTTCCCTCTTGGGAGAGTCTAGGATCAGAGGGCACAGCCTAAGCATAAAGAGGTGCCTTTGAAACAAATGAGGAGGAATTTCTTCTGAGGTTTGAGAGTCTTTGAAACTCCCTTCCATAGACAGCTTGTGTGTATTTAAGGCTCAGACAGACAGATACACATACATATACAGACACATAGATAATACATAATGACACGTGCATACGTACCTGATCAGTAGGGAGGTCAAGGGTTACAGGTTAAAAAGTAGGTAAGTGGATATGAGGAATGTCAAATCAGCCATGATCCTATTGAATGACAGAGTAAACACGACTAAAGGCCTAAAGTAAAGTAAAGGCCTAATCCTGCTCCTATGTTTAATGGTCTCATAGGACTAATCTCTCGTCAATGGACAATCCCCCAATCCCAGGAATAAATAGTGAACCTTTGCACCTCTTTAGGACAACTATGTCCTTGCTTGGATAAGGAGACCAAAACTGCACAATCTATATCAAGTGTAGCCTCATTGCACTGTACAATTATAGTAAGTTTTCCTTATTCCTGTACTCTGAACTGTGTCATTAAAAGCTAACATACCATCTGCTTCCTAATTACTTGGTATATCTGCATGCTACCTTTCTGTGATTTCGTCTACAAAAATATCCAGGTTGCTTTGAATGCATTAATTTCATATCAGGACTCAAAATAAACATTTACTTTTATTTTCCCAACCAAAATGAATAGATTCATACTTAACCATATTGTATCCCATGTTCTGGCTCATTTACCCAATGTTTCCTTGTTCCTTTGCAGTCTTTGTATCCTCAATGATTACTTTCCCTTCAAACTTTGTACCAGCAACAAAGTTAAGTAACATTGTACTCAGTTCCTTCATCTATGTCATTAACATTGATTGTAAATACCAGAGGTGCAAGTATTTATCCTTATGGTGTACTGAAAGTTACAATCAACCCAAAAATTATGCATTTGCACCTACCCTTTGTTTTCTATCTATTTACTAATCATCAATCCATATTTACAGTTTAATTCTAATTCCCTATATCCCAATTTTGAGTAATATTCTTTCGTGTGGCACTTAAGCAAATGCTTTTTGAAAATACAAATGCACTGTATGTGCTAGCTCCCCTTTTCCATTCAACTGGTTACATCCTTAAAAAAATGTAACAGCTTTGTTGAACGTTATTTCCTCTTCATACATCGATATTGATGTTGCCTTTATTATATTTTTTTTTAAATACGTGACCCATTACCAAGTCTCTGTCACAACTGGTATTCATCCTATTTACCACCAGCCAGTCTTCACTTGTACCTTGCATAAACATGAACTCATCAAAAACTCATTGCTCATGTGACCACTGTCCAACATGATCTTTCTTAATGTCAAGACTGTTATTCTTATTTTCTAGTCCTTCTCTGGCTTCAACCTTCCATATTCCTGTGACCTCTAGCTCTAACCTCCTTGGATCTTTGCACTCCAATAATTCTAACCTGTCATGCATTCTGAGCCATCCCAAGGCTCCAGCATTGGAAGCCCTGCCTTAAGATATAGAGCTCCTGAATCCAAAATTCCATACCCAGGCCTCTCTGCATTTCCACATTTTCTAGTTCATTAAAGTCTACTTTGACCGAAAATTGTAATTCATTAATTTTCTCTGACACGTCAAAATTAGTATTAAAACACTTTAGCATAGACCCTTGATTTTTTTTTTTTTCAAATCCAAAAGGCCTACATAAAAATGCAAGTTGTTGGAGTCAGTTATTGGTTCCAACATGGCCAATGCAGTCTTAAAGGCTATTGAAATAAACTAATGTAGACTTGTATCTTTTTTTAATCACCCTGTTCAGAGATGCTCTTACACAACTCTGCACCAGGCAGGATTTGAACCCAGGCCTCCTGGCTCAGATGTAGGACCACTGCACCACTCTAATTTTTTTCTTCACAGATGCTGCCAGACCTGCTGAGCTTTTCCAGCAACTTCTGTTTTTGTTTCTGATTTGCAGCATCCACAGTTCTTTTGGTTTTTGTGAAGGACTGTGCTGTTTGACTCTATAAAATGACTTGCAGGGAGATGTGCGCATTATAGCAATTATTCAAACACCATTTTGTATCATTTATAAACAACAATTTTGTTCAACTTCAAGGATTTTTTCTTCATTTTCTATGCTATCGTGAACTGCTCCAAGAGGAGGTTGCTTTAAGACCAGTTGCTAATATTTGTACAACAGGCAGCATCTGGAGGAAAGGAGAAGTCAACATTTTAGGTATTAATCCCACATCCAGTCCTGAAGATGGGTAGGAGGAGCCCCCACCCTCCTCCCCCTGGACCGACACATCTGTCCTCAGCCTCCTCCAGTGTTACAGCAATTCAGAACACAAATTTGAGGAACAACTCCTTATCTTTCGCCTGGGTACCCTACAGCCCAGAGGATTCAACATTGAGTTCTCTAATTTCAAATAACCTTCCCACCCATCCCCTGGCTCCCTTTCATTCCACCTACTGACCCTCCCTTCCAGCTACCAACTGGATTCATCCCTCCCATCGACTAACCAGGTTGTACCTACTACCGGTGTCCACTTATCACCACCATTCCACTACCACCCTCCCCCCACAATCTCTTCATCTGCAACGCCTCCTATCCCCACATCCAGTCCTGAAGAAGGGTAATACCCAAAACGTTGACTTCTCCTTTCCTCCCGATGCTGCGAAGCTTGCTGTGTTCTTCCGGCCTCCTGCTTGCCTACCTTGGATTCCAGCATCTGCAGTTTTGTTTTGTTTGCTAATATTTATATATAGTGAAGGTTAATGTGTTTTTCTTTCACACCACTCTCCATCCTCAGACCTGGATTTGCTGCTGCTCATCATATCCCAGTGGACAAGTGGTGACCAAGATCCATGCTCTATCTGGTTGGAACAGTTTTGTGACTGTGACATGCAACATCTGTGCACCGCCTCCTTGAGGCTTAAAAATAGTCCCAATGCAAAACCTAGATAATGAGGAGGGAACGTAATGAAAAATGTTGCCTTGGTTGGATAGTATGCATGGAGCTATAGATAGAAAAAACCCACTTGAACAAACAGCTGATCTTTTGAACTTGTTTAATTTGTGATTATCCTTACCAGACTAAGCAAGCAGCTGCCAGCTGGACTTGGACAAGATTTGAACTCAGTTCCCATAAATAAACCTGAGAAAATATACTATCACAGCCTCTAATAATTTAAGTTAATGCTTTGCTATTTATTTTACAGATACAAATGGTTCCGATAACTCTATCCCAATGGCATATCTTACCCTGGATCACCAGTTGCAGGTAAGAACCTTTGTAAGATTTGCCCAAAATTTTGCTTGATCACATTAGGTATGCTTCAGTGCGTTTGTACTTGTGTTCTGTTGTTTTTCAGGACTAATTTCTAAAAATTCACACAGTGAAAAAACTGAGAGATAATTGTATGTCTTTTATGTAGTTATGAATGTGACAATTTACATTCCTGTCGTAGCTGTTGCCCACTTTGAATTCTGGTTCCTTGAAGAAAGTAGTATTTTCCTTGGCATTTCATGAAGTTTTTATTGGCTATGCGCTGAGTTGCACACTAATTGTAAAAGGCGCTATATAAATGCATATCATTTTGTTTTTATTAGTCATTCTCTTAGCAAAGCAAGCAGAAAGTGTTTAAAAATATACACCAAGTCATACAGCACTCAAAAAGGAGGCAGAGTAAACATTTTAAGTTAAAATATGCCGCTATGGATGCAGAACTGTGATTGTATCAACCATTTCTAAGGCTGATGAGTATAGGTTCAGTTTTGTTAATGGATTACATATGAACAAGATTCTGAAGTCCACAAAATGTTCCTCGCTCTGATTTATGTGGTATGAGTTGGCTTACTTCCCACACCCTGTACTTATTTGAGTGAGAATTTGGCACTTTATTGCCCTTTTTCTGTCCATTCTAATATGTATATGCCACTGGGATTGATACATGGGACTCAGCCATTTACTAAGTGTAATGTTTTTCACGTTTACTGCCGGTACAAAGTTAGGTGGGGAGTAAGAGTTGAAGGGGATGGAAAATGGACAGGTGGGCATGAACACCGAAAATGCAATATATATATATGGCAAAATACTAAATTATCTGCTTGATTGGGATAACAAAAAATATTTTTACAATGTTGAGAAACTGGGAAATGTTTGCATTCAGAAGGACATGAATCTCCATGTACGTGACGCAGAAAGTTATAATAAAAGGACAACAAGCAAATGTTACATTGAGATTAGGAGATAAAACTAAAGGTGTCTTTCTGTAACTATGTAGGGCATTGGTGAAGCCACATCTAAACTAGAAATCCCTCTAAGCTGTATGGCAACTCCGATGGTCCCATGCAATGCTTGCACAAGTTGATAACTTTGAAGTACAACTGTGTGTGGCAGTACTAAAAGATAATGGATGCTCATACTTAATTAAGCAAGCTGCACATTACAAACAAAACATAAAGGGAGTGTGTAGTTTTGGTTTCCTTTCCTAAAGAAGAACATGCTTGTTCTGGAGGTGGAATGAGTGGTTATCTAGTTGAAACAAAAATCATCCTTAAGGGGCAGGAATTTTGAATAAAGTTTCAGAATAACGTGTTGGTTATGTAATGCTAAGGTAAGGAAAGTTTTCTTCACTCAATTGATTGTGAAATTTTACAGTCAGAAGGACATGAATCTCCTTGTAAATGGACCATAGGAAATTATAGTTCAGTACGTATATTTGGAATGTTCTACCCGAGAGAACTATGGACACACAATTAGGATATTCAACTCAGCGATCAATAGACTTTTAGGTACTCAGGAATTTACAGAACATGGGATATTACAACAAAGTGATGTTGAGGTAAAGGGTTAACCTTGATCTTCTTGACCTAGTCTGGCTCCAATCTTGTATTTTTGTATATTGTTAACGTACCTAATCTGTGTTTCTGTGTTTCTGTGTTCCTGTTATGTCCAGACAAGTTTCCTGACAGTTCAGATGAATCTGCCTACTTATTTTTCCAATTGCAATTTTTAGATCCTTCTTTCGTACTATTCTTAGAACAGTTTAAAACGTCATGTTTAAAGACATTTGATTTTACAATCTGTTTGCATTTCTCTTCAGCCATTAGCTCCATGTCCAAACTCCAAAGAATCCATGTCTGTATTTGAGCAGCATTGCAAAATGGCTCAGGAATACCTGAAAGTTCAAACTGAAATAGCATTGCTACTACAGAGAAAGTAAGTCAGAGTTAATTGTCTTTGTTTTGTTGTAACAGAGATTTGATTAAGTGAAAATGATATTCAATTTGAAAGTTTTGTTCTTGAAAGATGTAATAACAGAAATGTTCTCTAATAATAATATAGTGAAGTGAGAATAAGAGAATTATTTGTTACAAATTCAGAGGTGCCTTTTTAAATTATTTTTTCTCCGTCCACGGTCAGTTCCTAGCTTCATTGAGAGGCTTATGGTGGGCCAGTTACAACACTGGCGCAAGAGCACGGTTGATGCAGGATCATTGATTCACGGCTTGTCTCTTATCCCTCGAGGCTTCTGCAACATATCTAAATGTTAAAGTAAGAAGTATGATGCAATATTCAAAGAGGAGCAGCTATAACAGCACCCAAAACTGGGCACCATCTGAGTCCATCTGCAGGTTTGCTTAAGTGACACCCTTGCAACCAGGCTCAGGACCCATCCTTTCAATTTTTTTGGCAACCTCTGACTGCAGCTTGCATCATCCAAGATTACACTTCAAATCAAGGCTATTCATCAGGAGCTCCTTTCCATATAACTGCTGTTAGAACAAAAGTAGCAATTTAACGGTCACCACTGCCTCCCTGTAACCTTTGTAGCACTTGTGCTAAAAGAGCTTTCATAGTGCCATTGCTAGAAATTCCAGGACATTCCCCCTGTGACAAAGAAAAGACCGTGTCAACCTTGGTGCTGCACTCTTACCTGAGAAAGCTTTGGACTTATGTCCCACTTCAGGGACTTGACCACATAATCCAGACTGGCACTTTATTGTAGTGTGGAAGAGTGCTGCACTATTGAACACGTCCTCTTTTGCGTGAGGCATGAAACCCAGACGTCTCGGGTAGACATCCAGAGATTCTGTGACACTATTCTGACAGCAGAGTAATTTGTCCCAATGACCAACCTACGATTTATCTCTCAGCCAATGTCAGTAAAGAGATCATCTGACTGTTATCTCATTGCTGTTTGTGGGATCTTGCTGATGTGTTTGAATCAACTTCTTCTGCATTCGTTAACCTTATAGCATTATTTAGTCTTCAAATATACTTCATTGGCTATTAAGCACTTTTGCAATACTTTTAAAGCTAGGAAAGATGCTAAAAGATTCTCATTCTTTCTTAATATGTATCCAGATTACCCTGAGAGGTGGTTAAGAACTCAAGTAGTTTCGTCATTTATTAAATTTGTCTATTTTAATGTGACAATTTGGATATCAGACATTAGCTAAATAGAGAGGGAAAGCTTGTAGCCCTTGAGAGTTGAAAGCATACAAATAAAAAATAGGAGCAAATGCAGGCCATTTACCTATTCAGCCTGCTTTGCCATTCAATAAGATCTGCCTGATCTGATTACTGTGCATTCCTGTCTGCTCCTGATGACCTTTCATCTACTTGCTTATCAACAAATATATCTACTTCTGTCTTTTTTAAAAAAAGTTCAAAGATCCTGTTTCCTTGCCCTGTTCAAAAACTCATGATTCTGTGGGGAAAAAAGTTCTCCTCGTCTACCTCAAATGAGTGACCCCTCGTTTTTTAAAGTGACTCTTACTCTAAATTCTTTCAGAAGGGAAAATGTCCCTTGCATATGCACCCTGACAAGACCCCTCTGTATCTTATTTGTTTCAATCAATTCACCTCTCATTCTCCTAAACTCCAGCAGATATAAACCTAACCTGTCCAATCTGTCCTCGCAGGGCAACCAACCCCTTTCAGGTATTAGTGTGGAAAATCTTCTGTGACCTACTTCCAGCATAATTACGTCCTTCCTCCAGGTGTGGTCCTACCATTGCTTTCCTATTTTTGTATTCCATTCTCCTTTTAATAAATGATAATACCCTATTAGATTTCGTAATGCTTTACCTCTATGTTAACTTATCGTAAATTATGCATTTGAACACCCAGGTCTTTCAGTATCTTTGTCCACAGTGTCTCATCACTTACGTTCTTATTTTATTCTTCCTGTCAAACTGGACAATTTCACATTTTCCCACATTGTATTTTGTTTGCCTCATCTTTGTCCACGCACTTAACCTATCTCTACTCCTTTGAAGGGGACATAAGTATGTTACCACAAAGTACTTTTCTACCTGTTTCTGAGTCATCAGATTTAGCAACTATACCTTCAGTCCCTTCATTCAGATCATTTATGTTAATAGAAAAAAGCTGAGGCCCCAGCACTGACTCATGTCGCACATCACTCACTGCATCTTGCCAAAGACAAAATGACCATTTTTGCCTGCTCTATATTTTTAGTTATCTGGCTAACTTTTGATCCATGCAAGTGCGTTGCACCTACACTGTCTGTTTTTATTTTCTGCATTGAACTTTGATGTGTTACTTTATCAAATGTATTTGAATTTCTAGAAGACAGTACATCCACCTTCACCTACAGCACGTTGTATCCTCAAAGACCTCCAATAAATTGGTTAAACATCATTTCCCTTTCACAGACTACACCTTATTATGTTCAAATTTTTGAAATGTCATGTTATGAAGTCTTTAAGAATAGCTTCTATCATCCTCCCAATGACAGATGTTAAGCTAACTGGCCCCTCATTTCCTGCTTTCTATCTCTCTCCCTTTTTGAATAAAGGAGTTATATTTGTTCTTTTTCATTCTAATGGTACCTTCCCCTAAATCAAGGGAATTTTGTAAAATTAATACCAATGCATGAACTATTCAAGTAGCCACCACTTTTATGACTCTAGGATTAAGTTCAGCAGAAACCAAGGACTTGTCAGTCCATAATGCCAGCAAATTACTCAGGGCCACATCCCAAGTGACTTATAATTTTCTTGAGTTTTTCTCTCTTCCATTTCCTGATTTATAGCAATTTCTGGGCTGTTTCTTACAGCCTCTTCAGTGAAGACTGACACAAAATACCTGTTCAATTAGTCTGCCATCTCCTTATTTTCCATTATTTTCCATTCTCTACATCTATAGGGCAACACTCCCTTTAACTATTTTTCCTTTTAAATATCCATAGAAATCCTACTGTCTATTTTCATGTTTCTAGCTAATACTCTACTTTTCCTTCTTTATTAAATTTTTGTTTTTTTTAAACTGTTTTACATTCTGTCCAGTCTTATGAACTGATACCCATCTTTGCATAATTATATTCTTTTGCTCTAAGTGTCTCAGAGCACTGCAATCTCATTTATTTGGATAAGCTTTCCTTATTCTTCGTGCCAAAATGAACAATTGCACATTTTCCCACATTACATGCCATTTGCTACATCTTTGTCCACTCAACCAACCTATCAATATCTTTTTGTAACTTCTTTGTACCCGCTTCACTCCATGCTTTCCTGTCTATCTTCGTAACTACAGCAAATTTGTCATACAACTCTTTTACCCTTTATTCATTCATGGGATGAGGGCGTCGCTGACTAGGCAGCATTTATTGCCCATCCCTAATTGCCAAGATGGCAGTTCAAAGTCAGCCACATTTGCTGTGGGTCTGGAGTCACATATAGGCCAGACCAGGTAAAGATGGCAGTTTCCTTCCCTAAAGGACATTAGTGAACCAGATGGGTTTTTCCGACAATTGACAATGGATTCATGGTCATCATTACACTCTTAATTCCAGATATTTGTTGAATTCAAATTCCACCATCTACCATGGCGGGATTTGAACCCAGATTCCCAGAACATTAGCTGGGTCTCTGGATTAACAGTCCAGTGGTAATACCACTAGACCATTGCTTTCCCCACATAAATATAAATAAATTACATAAATATTGCGCACAGTTGAGGACCTGGCCCTAATCCGTGGCACACACCACTGTTATTTATGCCCTCTCTTTTATAACAGTGTATCAACTATCTCATTAACCACTTTAAGACCCTGGGATGAAGTCGATCAAAACTCAGCGCTTGTTAACCTATGGCTCCAACAATTCTCTCAGTAGTACTGTTCTGATTGTAATTTCCTGAGCTGCCCCCTCCCTTCCATTTCCTGACTTATCAGTGTTTCTGGGAAGATACTTGCAACCCATATTGCTTACAATACCTGCTCAATTCAATAGTGATTCCTTATTTTCAGCTATTCTCCAGTCTAATATTCTGTAGAATACACTCCATTTACCTGGATGAGTGCAGCTTCAGCAATGTTGAAGAAGCATTTTCACACAAAGGGTAGCAGAAATCTAAAATACTAACCCTGATAAAATTGATGTATGTTGAGTGTTTTCAGACTGCAATTGATAGAACTTTTCAGGTAAAAGTATCAAGAAAGTTTGAATAAAGGTGGGTCAGTGGAGTTAAGGTATAGGTTAGGCATGACGTAATTGAAGAGTGCAGTAGGCTGAAGGATCAGAATGGCTTCCTGTTTCTATGTCGTTATAATAGTTAGCATGCAGTATATTTTCAAATTTAAATTTTGAAATAACAATATTAAACATCTGCAATACACCTCTGCATGTGTTCAGCTGCACATCTCTTTCAGTGCTGTGACCTTAAAACTGAGATACTTTTTATTTGCCATTACTAGCAAAAGATGATCTTTATGACCCATAGAGTGGCAAGAAGGTGGAACTAATTACCACAAGGAGTAGTTGAGGCAAATAGCAAAATTTAATTTAAAGGAAAACTGGATATAAATATGAGGCAGAAAATAATACAAGGATGTGTTGACAGGGTTAAATTAAATCAGGTGGGAAGGGCTTTTAATGTGTATAAACATAGCTATGGACCATTTGGGCTATATGGCCTGTTTCTGCACTGCACTTTCCATACAATATTCTCAGTTTGATGGCTTAATTAGTCATTGTTTAAAAATACAGAGAGATTACTTTTAAAGAAGATCTTCATGTTGACTCATTGGTTCATCACAGAAGTAAACCATTCAATCCTATTATGGCTGTTTGGTAGAGAGATTCAACTAGTCTAACTGTCCCATAGCCCTGTATTATTTTTTCTATTAAGTATTGGTCTAATTCCCTTGTAAGTTATTATCAAACCTGCTTCCACCACCCTACTGAGCAATTCCAGATCAAAATAATTGGCTGAGATTTTTATTTTTAAATGGGTTTCTTTGTTATCTGTGGTCTTTTTGCCAGTTAATTCTGTAGCCTGTGGCAATTTGTCATCTGCCACTGGAAGTAATTTCTGTTTATTTATCTTAATTTTGTGATTTTGAACCTCTCTATCTTGCCTTTCACTGCTCCAAAAATGACAAGCACAGATTCACCAGTCTTTCCCCTCAATTGAAGTTCCTCATCTCTGGTACCACTCCACTAAATTTCTTCTGAGTCCTGTCTCACGATTGGGTCAGAAACCTATTTCATAGCACAATACTATCAGTGGCGCTGTTAAAAAATGTGAAATTCATGAACTTTTCCAAATTTTTTTGTTTGCCTCTGAACTTAAAAGGCAAGAACTAATAGCAGAACTGGACCAGGATGAAAAAGATCAACAGAATACCTCCCGGTTGGTTCAAGAGCATAAGAAGCTTTTGGAAGAAAACAAAAGTTTATCCACGTACTATCAACAATGTAAGAAACAACTAGAATACATAAGAGCCCAGCAGCAAAAGCGGCAGGGGACGTCATGAGGCAATGGAAAGCATGGGCCGTCATTTCTATGCTGTGTGCCCCAAGACTGTTGGTTACACACACAACGACTGATTGTATTGGAAGATTACCTATTATGGATAACTTAATTCAGTGTTTGGGCCTCTGTGTTATGTTCTGTAAGTGTATTTCTGTACATCTGACAAACTTTGATTTTAGTTTTTTTTTAAATAGTGTAGTATTTAATTTCATTCCATGAATATTTTAGTTCTATCATCATTTAGATTTGAGATGTTTCAGATAAAGTTGTGGCAATAAATTATTTGTATGAAACTGCAATTCAGCTAAAATGTTAGAAGGAAGGAAGAAAATATCTAAACCAAGACAAACTGAGTATTGGGTCCCACCGATCGCTTTTAATGCCTGATGTTAACTTGTGCCTTGGAGGCTAGCAGTATTTTCCTTTGGTCATTAGACGGTGACTACTTTTTTTTAATGGAACCAGACCTTCAGTAAAGGTTGTTGTCCCGAGCTCAATGCTAATAAAAAAAATATATATTCTATGTGCTGTACGTTTTGGAGAGTTCTGCAGTAATACTCACTAATATTACTGTCGGAGGTCATTGTAAAGTGAGTACTGTGCATTGAGCATAATTATTTCATACCCTTCTTTGACAAGTTGCTTATCCTGCAGCAAGAAACTTATTTTTAATTAAATTTCAGAAGTTTCCATAAAAGGTACAGCCATTAACTGGATAACTGTCTTCAATTGTAGTGCCACAATAGTAGCCTTCTTTCCTTAAATATGACTTCTACATGGCACACCTCTTAAAGTTTTAAATATTAAATAAATATATAATCTATAGAATTGGCAGTTATACTGGAACACTGAATTTTAAGAAATAAATGGCACCCATAAAACATATGGGATGATCCAACATGTAATGACAGCAGCACCCATAAAGCATGCATCTCAAGAAATCATGGGTTTGTGATGTTTCCTGGAAGCACTAAATCACAATCACGCTTTTTATCCTATCCTAAAAATCAGATCTATGGTTTTTCTGTAGATTTAAGTATAGATTTGTCCAAGGCATTCATACAAATTTGATGAAACCTCAGTGTTCTGGTCTAACTAAGTTGTTTTTTTTTTTAATTTTTTTTCTTTCCTTTAATGTTGATTTGGCTATTACAAAATAATAAATGCCCTTCAGATTTTTGGGCAGAGATATTCTTCCAAATATCAAGTTTGAAACTGTCCTCTGAAATTCAGCGGACCTGTTTGACAACAAGAAGTTGGATATTGCACTTTATTTTTTTTTCTTAGCATGGAGCATAGATGGGTTTATGAGAGATGCAGCTAGGCCGGGTGGAGTTAACAGTACTGTAATTGTTTACATTCTCTAAATTAGCTTCAGCATCAGTTCCACCAAGGATTGGATAATGTGACATAAATGAAATATTGGTTGCATTGATAAATGCAGTGCCAAGATGAATATCATGATCAGATGTTCAGTCAAGCACGCACACCCTCTCACTCATTCTTTGGTGGGAGGTAGGTCATTAGAGTTGTGCAAGTTACAGCCATGATGTCAAAGTAAGTATTTTTGTTAGAGATCATATCCTTTTTGAAGGATGTATATAAGCTGGATTAAAACAATCAGATAAGAACTCTGAACTGCTTGTTTTACTTGTTTGGGTCAAAAGAGAGCTCATTATTTTTAAAACAAAAAGACTGCTTTCACTACAGTTAAAGAATAGTCAAACTGTTATAGTCATAAATATTCAACAATTACCATAAAATTATGCATTGGACCCTTTTCAAGGACTACTGGAGCACATCTACATCATGTTAAGATTAGTTTACTTGTTCAGTTTATTCCAGTATGCTGTGAACAAACATTCTATGGCTCTCTCAAAAATTTGCTTTCTATTTTCATGAATGCAAGAAATTAGTCTTTGCAGATTTTATACAAAAATGTGTTCAGATTCTGTAAAGCAACAACTGTATATAGGTATATTTATTTGAAAGAAAGGCTTATTTTGAATGGTATTTTGTAGGCCTTTTTTTTTTTGTTTTGTTTTTTCAAGGTAGGGATGGATTATAGCATATAACAGGCTACTGATCCTTGAGGTTAACGCCAGAGTTGAAAAACCTCACCAAAAATGTAGTGTAGTCTGCTTATTATCAGGCGACTTCTACCATCATACATTAGAATTTAAAAGATCAACCAATCCCATTCTAATTTGTGTACAATTCAGCATGCTTTTCAATTGCTGGTAGGCTCCCTTCCCAGTACCTTTTAGAAATGATAGATTTTAGTTTCTTGCACATCCTCCCACCTTATCATCCATCTCTCTGGACACACATTGGCAGCACATTAATTTAAACACGTTTCACCTATAGATAAATTCTCCTGACAGCACCATGTAGACCAGGCATTTTCAAGATATGATCCATGGTCTGTTTGGAGTTTGCTGGTCTCAAATTGCATTCAGGATGTTATAATTGGCTTTATAGATCATAGGCAAGGGGAAGGAATCTCTCTCTTGAATGTGTAGTAAAGTGTCTGCTTCCAAACATTGGTGAGAATAGGATTCAGCTCAACTGTGGTTTCCTCCCACATTTGAATTGCCTACTACTCACAACCTAAGCTTGAGCTTGAAGAATGGCAATGTGGAAATTACCAGAGAACTGCTGGCAGCCATGAATTAGTGTCATCAGAAAAGTTTTTTTTTTAAATCAGATTGGTGTAGGGAGGGGATAGAAGTACTTCATCAGAAAATAGAATTGTTGCAAAATGGATTGTGTATGTAATTGATTAATGAGGTGTGTGTATTTGAAATGTATTTGCTGTTATTGGACCTGAGGTGAATCCTTGGAGGATTATAACAGCATTACGAAGGATAATAAAGTTTAGAAGTTTTTCATTTACATGGTGAAACATTGTCAGTTGAGAGATTTGCTGGTGTGCTCAGATTTAATTAAGGGTGAACTACTTTTACAGTCTTTCTCCAATTCCAGCTTCAAATACTGGGCTGCAACTTCTAAAGAAGGGCCCAGTAAGTACTTTAAATGTTTGTTTCATTTATAAGATCTGGTGAGATTCAAATTTTTTGTTACTAATAATATAATTAAACAAATGACTGTTAGCTAATTTAAAAAGGAATATAAGTTATGTCCAATATTTTACCTGTCTCAGTGACAAAAACCCTACATTATGCATCAGTTTCAAGTCTTGCGTATTAGATTAATAAAGACCCTAAAAAAAAAACCTCCAAAGATAAAATAATCTCCCATATTTCTTTGAATATATTTGCAGATATCTGAGTAAATATAAATGAGTATCTTGTGCTTTTGCATGTGTAATTCAAAAGGCTACAAGTTCCCAGGTTCCCAGTTCAATTCAGAACTCAGATCATGGAAAGCTAAGGAGGGAATGTAACTTTTAATAATTTAACAACTGTGTACGTATATGTTGCAGTACTATTTACACATTAGTCTCTGATATTTTGAACAATTTTTTTACATAAGCTTTTGGCACACCGTGTGTAAGGAAAGAACAACAATTTGCTGATATTGCTGACATTTCTCGACGTTAAAGTTGTACATAATTAGAGATACAATTGTATGTTCAAGGAAACATAAGAACAGGAGTAGATTAGATAACTCTGAAGCCTTTTCATTGTAATAGTAGCTGATGTGTTAAACTCCATATCCTTAATATTTGTTACCAAACTCCCTGATGCAAAATTAATAATTATTCTGGCATCAATTGTCTTTGCCAAAGTATTTGAAACTGCTAGCATGTTTATCTGAGATAGCAAGAACTGCAGATGCTGGAGTCAGAGATAACAAAGTGTGGAGCTGTAGGAACACAGCAGGCCAGGCAGCTTCAGAGGAACAAGAAAGCTGATGTTTCAGGTTGGGACCCCTTTTTCTGAAGAAGGGTCCTGACCCAAAATGTTAGCTTTCCTGTTCCTTTGACGCTACCTGGCCTGCTGTGTTCCTACAGCTCCACACTTTGGTACTTCTCACCTAATTTTCTGGTTCCTAACCCTAGATTCCTATCCATCCTATTTGAATGATATCTTGTAATCTTCAATCAATTTACACCATAGCCTTCTAAATTAGAAGGATTATAATCCTAGTTTGGGCAATCTCTGCTCAGAATTTCACCCGTGGAGTCAAGGTACCATTTTGTTTAATCCATGCTGCACTCCCTCCAAGCCAATATTTCCTTCCTAAAGTGTAAATGCCCAGAATTTCTCTTAGGACTCCAACTGATTTTCTTCTTTGCGCCCAGATGCAACATGTACACATAAATTTAACACTTTCATAATAATTTGACCAAACTCTCTTTAAATCTGATTCTTCATTTTTGCTGTTTAAAGCTAATCGAATTGCCCTTGGTTACATGTTGGCCCAAATATTTAGGCATGCCTACACTAGTGCGCAAATTGAATGATCATGGTATCTGAACACGGAGTTCTCAGACTTCTATTCCATCAAGTTAGAGACACCAAAATTACTACTGAATTGCAGTGCAAGTTCAGGCTGCACCTAATAGTATAACTACCAACTAGTAAGTGAGGCAAGAGACATTGGTGTCAGTATTGACTTTTATTAGAAGGGACGGATCTTTGTGTGTCAGAAGAGAGGGTAGCAACAATCGGAAAAGATGTGAGGTGGACAGTGGTCAATGGATGGCAGCAACCTCCATTCTTTGAAAGTGGGATTGAGTGACCCAGTCGTTCACGTTCAGTTAAATGTTTTTAAAATTTACCTTTCTCGTGGCACTTGCAGCCAATGCTTTTAAGAACTGCTTTAAGCTTGATTGTCTGAGTGACCTCAATTGCCTCAGCAAACCAATCTTGCTGTCAGGGTCTCACATGAGGGTTAGGCCCTTTGATATGCAAATATGGGACCTAATACTAGTTTCAGGCTTGGGTAAAAGTGCAACACTTTTTTGGCCTTGACCAATACAGCAAATACTGAGTTTTTGCTTTTTACTGCTATGTGGGAGGCTTGAATTCCTTTTTCATATCTACAGAACAGACACTGCAGCCAAATTTCTAAGCTTTTGTGGAATAAAGCCTCTTGAATGGGTGCATTAAAATTAGTTTATTTAACCAAGATTCATAGAATTCAGATTGATTTTAATTGTTCTATAGAGTTTGCATGAGTTAGACACATTTTCAAGGTAATCATTAATTACTGCATGATTTAATTGTCTACTAAATTGATATCTGGAGCTTGGCATGTGACAGCTTTGCATGTTAGCTTGAACAGTTACTGACTTGGCCAACTTCCATACTAGCAATTAATACAGCTATTGATGATGACCACTTATTTACCTTCATCACAATTACAAATCTGTTCAGTTATTGTCCATGAAATACTTTCTTTCCTCATTTAGTCTGGTTCTCTATTTTACCTTTCCCTTAAATGGAAGTCACAAAAATCTGATAACTCCACTTTGTAGATGTAATGGGTAAGAAATATAAACTACTTGCAGAATTTTTTAAAACTTTAGCTGAACAAAGTAAATGCATTGAATCTAAACTGGAGTGATAATTCCAAGAAACAAAACCAAAATTGATCTCAATTTCAAATTCCAATCTGAAACACTTATGGATGAGAATTGTTTAAAGTGATCAAAGTGTTTTTTTTAAATGCCTGCCGGATATCTTTCTCGTGTGTTAGCTGCAAGTAATTTGTTTTAAAATTTCACTTATGATCTAAAAGATGATGAAATCAAGAGCTTGAGTTGCAATGCTAAGTAGAAACCATTTGTTGAAAACATTTCTTTTTTCAGGATTTATTAGCCAACATAAATGTGAATCAATTGCAAATGATTCAGGAGAATTTATCATGGGAATAAGAAGATGGCAGACGACCTAAACAAATGTGTTGCATCTTGTCTTCTTGGAAGAATGTACTAAAAACTTGCCAGAAGTAGTGGATAATCCAGGACTGGTGTAAATGAGGAACAGCAAAATGTGAATATTAGTTGAAAACAGATAGTACTAAAGAAGTTAATGGGACTTAAAGTGGATAAATCCCCTGATGATATCTGTCCCAGGATGTTGAAAGAGGTGACTCCGCTAATCATAGCTGAGTTGATGATCATCTTTCAAAATTCTATAGATTCTGAAATAGTCCCAGCAGCCTAGATGGTAGCAAATGTAAACCAATTATTTAAGAAAGCCTGGAGAGAGGAATCTGAGAACTATAGACCTTTTAACCTACATCAGTCCTAGCAATGTGGTAAATGTTTAATGAAGGATGTGATAATAGGACACTCAGAAGATATGCGTAGGATTGGGCAGAGTTGACATGAATTTATGAAAGGGAAATTTATGTTTGATAAATCTGGGAATTTGAGAGAACCATCAAATCAGAGAGGTGGAACTGGGGTATGTGCTATATTTAGATTATCAGAAGGCCTCTGATAAAGTGCCAAACAAGAGGTTGCTAAGCAAATTCAGGGTTAGAAGGAAAATATTGTCATGGATTGAAAACTGGTTAACAGGCAGAAAACAGTAGCATTAAATACGTAATTTTCAGGTTGTCAGGATGAGTCTATTTGAGGCATCACAAGGTGCTTGGGCTCCAGGGAGATTAAATGTAATGCTGTATTGCCAAATTTACAGATTACACAAACTAGGTTGAAGTGAGAGTTGTGAACAAGATGCAAAGATGCTTCAAAGGAATTGGAGGCTAAGTGAAGTGACAGAAATTTGGCAGGTTGTTGTGGAGGTGATGCCATTGGAGAGTGTGTTAGTTTGATGTCTAACAATTAACTGCCAAGCTTTGTTTACTTTAAAACCAGGCTGTGATTGGACAAGGCATTGCCTTGGAAAAATGAATGGGAGAATGATTCTCTCCTTGTTTAAGTTGAAACCAGGGCAGACTGTGTACATGTTCATTCTATCGAAAATGAACAGAACCTTGCATATTAACTTAGGCAGCTTCCAGTGTGACTAGGTTTGCCAGAATTGCATCCAGTATCAAGTACTGTTTTAATTTTTGCAAGCACAGACATGTCGGATATGGTCAGTATTTTTCCCCTGTTGTGAACAATTAAATGGACATGCTGTTTGTTAACTCCACCGTTCTTTGACATGTACAGCCTACGTACCTAATGTCAAACTGACACTGAAATCCTCAGTGCATTACTCGGTGTGATAGGCAGAACATCTTTTTGACTTGATGGTAGCATGTTACTGATAGCAAACACTACTTATGTTGCTAC